GGCGAATCCCCCTGGCACGTCGTGCGGCGCGTCCCCTGGCACGTCCCCTGGCACGTCCATTGGCACGTTCCGTAGCGCGTCTATTTGGCACGTCCCGCGGTGCGTCCCCACGGCACGTCCCCTGGCGCGACCCCTGGCGCGTTCCTTGGGACGTTCCTCGTCGCGCCCCCCTGGCGTGTCGCCCTGTAAGTTAGCTCTGGGGCAGCTACTATGTGCTCAGGCAGCACGAGCTTAAGATCCAGATCAGTTCGGGCAAGGACTCGGATGCAAAGGGGGACTCGATCCACAACGCTATAGAGCACAATCGCGGCATGGCACATCCGTCCCAGGGGCTCGTGAGTCGATCCTGTTGGAAGGTTTGGGGCCTCTGGGGCCTCTCGCCGGGCCTCGGGGTTCCGTCGAAAACGTCTCGGGATGAAACGCTGGCCGAAGGATTGCAAAAAAACGAAGGATTGCAAAAAAACCTGGATTGGAAAAAAAACCCAGGATTGCAAAAAAAACCCTAGGGTTTTTGTTGCAATCCTTCGGTTTTTTTGCAATCCTTCGAGGAAAGTGTTGGGACTTCTGGGGAGCGCCCCTTGAGCACGTTGAGGCATCGCACGTCTGGGTCGACGCCGGAGCATCGGACACCCCCGCTGGGGCTCACTTGGCCGCAGACACCCTTCCAAACCGGGTCCCCCGCCGGCCTTCAGAAAAGTCTGACCTGCAGGGGTCGGGCCCGCATGTGGTTGCTTGTCTTACTCCCCATGGAGGGCCCATCGGGTTCGACGCCCTTCTCGAGAGATCGTCGATACGGCATGGGCCCCCGAGGGGGAAGGAGGAGCCAGTTGTAGCTGGTCGGCCCCAGACATCCGTTCTCGATTCTATTTGGAAGTCCCGGCCTTCTTCTCCGCGGGGCCCGTTCTTTTCCCAGAAAGGGCGGGGGCCCAGGGTTCTGTTTTAGTAGGTTTATCCCCAGAATCGACTTGAGACGGGCCGGCGAAATTATTCTGCGATGGATAACGAGGTCGCGTGGGTCCGACGAATCATATTTCGAGGATATCCCGAGCGAAGCGATGTTTTTTTGTGGAGTTCCCAGAAAGGGCTCGGGCCCAGGGTTTTCTTTAGGTGATTCACCCTCCGGCCTCGGCTTGAGGTGGGCCCGCGGAATTATTCTGCGATAAATATTAAGGAAAGGGTGGGCTGGCGAATTTAGAGTTGAGGATGTCCTTAGCGAAATGCTGGTTTTTGACATTCCGATCGATGAATCGCATGTGAAGTAAGCATTTCCGTTTGTTGCGGATGTCTCAAGAGAAACGCTCGTTTTGCGGACTTTGTTGAGGATGTTTTGAGCGAAATGCTTGTTTTGGAGACTTATAGGAATTTGGACACCCAAGGATGCCCCAGGGGGCCCTGGGAGTGCGGACGCAGCGTAATTTACCATGGATCGTGGCCCTGGGAGCGTGGACGCAGCTTAGTTTAGCAGGGATCGTGGCCCAGGGAGAGCGGACACAGCGTGGTCTACGAGGGATCGTGGCCCTGGGAGCCCTGATGCTGAGTAATTTACAAGGGATCGTGGCCCTGGGAGCGCGGACGCAGTGTAGTTTACGACGGATCCTGGCCCTGGGGGGGCGGACGCAGCGTAGTTAATGAGGGACCGTGGCCCAGGGAGAGCGGACGCAGCGTATGTACGATGGATCGTGGCCTTGGGAGCGCGGACGCAGCGTAATGTACGATGGAGCGTGGCCCTGGGAGCGCGGACGCGACGCAGTTTACGAGGGATCGTGGCCCTGGAAGCGCGGACGCAGCAGATATAGTTTACGATGGCTCGTGGCCTTGGGAGCGCAGGCAGCGTAATTTACGAGGGATCGTAGCCCTTGGGGGGCCAACACAGCGTAATGTTGGGGATCGTGGCCCTGGGAGCGCGGACGCAGCATAATTTACGAGGGCTCGTGGCCTTGGGAGCGCGGACGCAGCGCAATTTGCGAGGGATCGTGGCAATTTGGGGCTGACCCAGCGCAATTTATTAGGGACCGTGGCCATGGACGCGCGGACACAGCGTAATTCACAAGGGAGCGCGGCCCCGGGGGGTCGCGGACGCAGCGTAGTTTACTTGGGCTCGTGGCCCAGGGAGGACGGGCGCAGCGTAATGTTTGATGGATCGTGGCCCTAGGCTTAGGTACGCGGATCGTGGCCCTGGTAGCACGGACGCAACGTAATTTCCTAGGGATCCTGGCCCTGGGTCAGGGACGTCCCGCGGCACGTTCCCTGGCGCGTTCCCTGGCACGCTCCCTGGCGCGTCGCCTGGCACGTTCCCTGGCACGTTCCGTGGCGCGTCCCGTGGCGAGTCCCCTTGGCACGTCGCACGGCGCGTTCCTTGGCACGTCTGGTGGCACGTCCATTGGCACGTTCTGTAGCGCGTCCCCTTGGCACGTCCCGCGGTGCGTCCCCATGGCATGTCCCCTGGCACGATTCCTGGCGCGTCCCTTGGGACGCTCCGCGGCGCGTCCTCCTGTCATGTCCCCCTGTCAATTAGCTCTGGGGCAGCTTCCATGTGCTCAGACAGCTCGAGCTTAAGATCCAGATCAGTTCGATCAGGACTCGGATGCAGAGGAGGACTCGATCCACAACGCAATAAGGCACAATCGCGGCATGGCACATCGCAATTCAGCACGGCGCAGCACAGCACAGCCTTCGGCACGTACGTCAAGATCGAGATTTTCAGCCCTGCAATCTGGCACGTTCCCAGGCACGTTCCGTGGCGCGTCCCATTGCGAGTCCCTCTGGCACGTCTCGCGGCGCGTCCCCTGGCGCGTCTCGTGGCACGTCCATTGGCACGTTCCGTAGCGCGTCCCCTTTGGCACGTCCCGCGGCGCATCCCCATGGCACGTCCCCTGGCACGATTCCTGGCGCGACCCTTGGGACGTTCCGCGGCGCGTCCCCCTGGCGTGTCTCCCTGCCAAATATCTCTGGGGCAGCTACCATGTGCTCAGACAGCTCGAGCTTAAGATCCAGATCAGTTCGGTCAGGACTCGGATGCAGAGGAGGACTCGATCCACAACGCAATAGAGCACAATCGCGGCATGGCACATCGCAATTCAGCACGGCACAGCACAGCACAGCCCTTGGCACGGCAGATCTATCCGGCCCAAGATGTGCCGCAGAAAAACGCGGTCTAGGACTCCAGACGTGATTTTCCACGATGTTGCACATTTTCTGGAGAATTGAGACGGCCAGTTTGACTTTGATTTCGGTCTCTGAGGTTCTCTGCTGGGCCGCGGGACCTTCACAAGACGACTCACGAAACATGATCGACCCACGGACCCGGAAAGGAGCATAGAAATGTAAGGCGTGGCAGCGTTTTCAAGACACCTGGTTGGGCGACGGGCAGTTGCAATGCTGAAAATGTACAGAACGTTCGGTTCTCATGTGCGAGGAGAGCACGACCCACCCCCACCCCCAGCCAGGACTCCCACTCCCGACCTCGTGATCCAGGAGGCCCTGGCTGGCGGCAGGGGTGGGCTTCTTGGGGCTTTCTAGGGGGCCAAGAATCGAATAGTCGTAAGAGTGACCTTTCGCCGGAGTGACCTTTGGTGCGGGCCCAAGGGGGTCCCCCGATCGCCGCACGCGATGCGATTGTAGCGTCTTGCGCTCTTGTGTTGGGTCCCCCCGCGGCCCCCCAAAAGCCGCGCACCAAAGGTCACTCTTACCCAGGGTCACTCTTGCGCGTAGCCGAAAGAAGCCACCCTCGCCCCCAGCCGTGACTCCCCAGATCGGCAAACAGACGTCGACCCTGTGAACGGAACAGCAAACGCCACCAGTTTTGCACAGGGGGCTTCTTGGGGTTCTATGGGGGCCAAGAAGCCACCCTCGCCCCCAGCCGTGACTCCCCAGATCGGCAAACAGACGTCGACCCTGCGAACGGAACAACAAACGCCACCAGTGTTGCACATCACCTGGTCGGCGTGTCCCCTGCTTGCTCTCCTCAGGAGAGGAAAAAACACAGACACAATTAATCGCCCACTCCCAGGAAAATATGGGAAAATATGGGAAGTGGGGGGGAAGACAACAACCCAGGAAATGTTGGAAAAAATGGGGAATCCTTTTATTTGTGTGTATTTATTTGTGTGTCCCAGTTCCCCTTCATCGCCTTCCACTCCTCTAGCGCAGGCCGCATCTTCCTGCTGGCGGCGATGCCGTCCACGTGACGGGCCCCCCCCGCCGGCGACTTCTGCCCGGCTCGGGGCACTCGAATGCCGTCGGGGCCCTGAAGAAGGAGCCCTTTTCGTTGGGGAGGGGCTCGGTGTTCCCTATTTGTTCTGCAGTTTGCCTTCGCTTTTCCTGAGGTTTCCCATGGGAAATCGAAGTTCAACTTATGGGAGAAAGGGGCCTCGTTCCTTATTCAGGGTTCCTTAGGCCAGACCCCCTTTTCGTTAGGGAGGGGGCTCCGCGTTCCTTAAGTGTGTCACAGCTTGCCTCAGGCTTTCGTTACGTTTTCGACAGGAGATCGAATGTTAACTTCTGGAAAAAAAGGGGCCTCGTTCCTTATTTAGGGTTCCTTAGGTCAAGCCCCCGACTGTATGTGAGATTCCGATCTGGCCTTTTGTTGAGGAGAAACTTGAGCAGAGAGGCGATCGCCGATCTGGTCCCCGAGTCCACAAGATTCGACGGGATCTCGGTTCCGATCTGGCTTCCCGATCCGATGCTGGCTCCGATTGCCCTTCGGCCAGGAGATCGACCACAGGATAACATTTACCACGAAGTTGTTTTTATTTTGGTCGGACCTACAACAAGCACGGAGACTGCCCCGCAGATCTCGGAGCACCCGATGCATCTCTCATAGATTCGACGGGAAAATCAATTTAGGGGGTACTCCAGATTTCGTAATAAAAGGGAGGGGGTCTGGACCCTCCAAGACAAGCCATTTCAGACCTCCCCCGTGGGAGAACCCTCCAAAACATCGTCCCCAGACCCCCCAGGCCCTCCAAGATAGCCTGGAAGAGACCCCCCCCCGAAATGAGACCCCCCTCCCTTTATTACGAAATCTGGAGTAAGTCAATCGTGCTGCGCGCCGCCAATCGTCCAGCGGTCCGCATCTTCACGCTGGAGGCGATACCCTCCATGCGACGCGCCCTCCGCCGGCGACTGCGGGCCGCGGGCCTCCGGAACAGCTCGGGGTCCACGCCAGGGAGGGACAGGCTTGGGAAGGTTTCGGCCAGAGCCCCGAATCATCAGGGCTGGGGGCCTCCTCCTCCTCCTCCTCCTCCGCCTCCTTCTCCTCCTTCTCCGCCTCCTCCTCCGCCTCCTCCTCCTCCACCTCCTCCTCCTCCTCCTCCTCCTCCTCCTCCTCGGTCAGGGACAGCTGCAGATTCGTGCCTCGGGGGCCCACACTGGAGGTGCCCCGGACCGCAGCTATCCTGGACGTTCCGGGCGCCCAGCCCTTCCGAATCATCAGGGCCTGGAGCAGTCAGGGGTAGCTACATATTCGTGCCTCGGGGGCCCAAACCGGAGGCACCCCGGACCGCAGCTTTCCTGGCTAATGCCGGGCGTCCCATTCCGGGTTGCGCACAGGCAGCCCCTCCAGGTATAGTCCCGGCTGGCCTCAGCAGTCGAACCGCAAGAACTTGCAACCACATAGACTGTCAGAGCCCCGCCCGGCTTGCTTGGATGAGAGGTTCCCCTTGGCGCATTTCGCGTGCCATGGAGGAATTCTTGCGCCTGTCCACGAGATCCCCGCGGACCTTAGAGAAATTCTGTTTATGCAGCTTTCGTTATTCTAAGCATGATGGGCCTGTTTTCCACCACCACCATAGGTAGGAGAGGGAGAGGGTCCTCCTCCTCCACCTCCTCCTCCTTCCCCCCTCCAACTTATGGTGGTGGTGTTGGAAAACAGGCCCATCAAAGCAGGCCCCCCGTGTAGTCCCCAGAGCGGTCTCAAAGCCTCAAACCTTGGGGCGTGGAGCGCCCCAGGGGCGCTGCCAGAGGCGGCGCCCGGGTGTGGAGATCGCCCCGGACTACTCGGGGTGCCTGCTGCGGCCAGTCTTAAGTCGGGCGTGTCCCTCCACAGGAGGAATATTCAAAAATAGTAAGAAAATATTATGGGGACGATTTCTTTG